CGAAATGACCGTATGATATTGCGTGTAATTCAAAGAGATAATGTGCTACCATAGTTCATACCGTAATTGAGTGAATTGATATAGGGCGAGCCTGGAATTGATGGTCGACCAGGACCTCGTGGAGAGGCAGGTGTAGCAGGTCCTCAGGGTCCAATGGGCCCCGCTGGTCGCAGAGGTGAACGTGGCGCTGCAGGCAGAACTGGTGCACAAGGTCGAAAAGGACCTATGGGTGATCGTGGTGCCGTAGGACTTGTTGGTCCTACCGGAGCTCCTGGTCAGAAGGGAGAACGTGGACAAACTGGTCGTGATGGTGACCAAGGTGAACCTGGGCCTCGAGGTGACCAAGGACCCAGTGGTGCTAGTGGACCAAAGGTGCGATATTTTGGTACCTTGCTGTTTATGCTTCAACTTGACCCTCCTATCTTATATCCTAATTTGTTTGAAATCGTCCTAGGGCTCTCGTGGTGAGTCCGGTCCACCGGGACTTCCTGGTGCACCTGGATTAGATGGGCGTCCCGGTCTTGACGGAGCACCAGGTGAGAACGGCCCACAGGGAGAGCCAGGTCTGCCTGGTGCTCCAGGTCCCATGGGTCGTCCTGGTATGGATGGTCTACCCGGTCCTCGAGGTGACATGGGTCCTAATGGACTTGATGGCCTACCGGGTGTGAAAGGTGCTAGGGGCCCACCGGGGCCTCCAGGTCGACCTGGCAATCTTGGCAAACCTGGTACACCTGGCACTCCAGGTGCTCTCGGCCCTCCTGGTCCCCCTGGACCTACTGTATGTGTATTTCTCCTCCCACTTTCAGTCACCTAGAATATGATATGATTATGCAAGAATCTCACATGGAATTTTTTCAGGGTATGCCGGGAGCCATGGGTGAACCAGGTCCAAAAGGTGCCCGAGGCTTCCAAGGTTTGGCTGGTGACATTGGTGAACCTGGTGATGTTGGTCCTGATGGTTTGGACGGCTCAGAAGGTCCCATGGGTAGTATGGGCCCTCCTGGCTTTGTCGGTCCTTCTGGCGATCAAGGTCCTGCTGGTGCCCCAGGCCCCGAGGGTGATCCTGGTCCGCCTGGATTCGATGGTCCTCCTGGTAAAGACGGAAAACCTGGACCTAGGGGAAAGGATGGAAGAATAGGTCCACCCGGTGAGCAAGGCGAACAGGGACCTGTTGGACCTCGTGGCATTCGGGGTGAACGTGGTGTCCCCGGTGACAAGGGCATTGATGGTGAACCTGGTGATGACGGCGCTGGTGGTCTTCCCGGTCCTCATGTGAGTGTATCGAGGTGCATTCAATAATTTTCGGAAATGAGAGTGACAAGACTCCCTTTCACCTTATCTTACAATGTCTATTACATCAATTGAAAGATTAACTTAGCAAATCACATCCACACCTTCATTGGGAAGTCATGGAGATATTGGCTTTTTTAGGGCCCAGCTGGACCACCTGGCCCGACTGGTAAAATAGGAGCCCCTGGTGAAGTTGGTGAGGAAGGTGATGAAGGTCTTCAAGGTCCGCCTGGCATTCCTGGGATGGATGTGCGTCATCATTTGCTTTTTCTTTGGCAAAGATAATTTCTTTCTTTCCCACTTTACTGGTAAACACTTTTTGCGTTAAGGGTGTTCAAGGGCCTCAAGGTTTACGTGGTCCACCAGGCAAAGCAGGAGTGACTCGTGAATTAGCTGCAGTTCCTGGAGGCGCAGGTCCCAAGGGTCCACGGGGTCCCACCGGTCCGTCAGGTCCTCCCGGCGACCAAGGTCCCAAAGGAGAGCCAGGTGAGACCGGACCTCCAGGCATGCCTGGTGAGCCTGGAGAACAAGGCCCTCCTGGACCCCCAGGTGATCCCGGTCCTGATGGCAAACCGGGTGCGGATGGTGAAGAAGGTCCTGAAGGGCCTCCTGGTGAGCAAGGTCCAATGGGTCCTCGTGGTCCCAACGGAGAACCCGGCCCTATGGGCGCTCCTGGTCAACCCGGTAAACCCGGTCCTCCCGGTCCAATCGGACCTGCTGGCATGGCTGGTGAACCCGGTAAACGCGGTCCCACTGGCCCTCCAGGTCCATTAGGCGAGCGTGGTCCACCTGGACCTTCAGGTGTTAATGGAACTGATGGGCGCGAAGGAAGAAAGGGACCCCAGGGACGTCGAGGACCTGCTGGACCCCCTGGTCCTCACGGTGATGCTGGAGCTCCGGGTAAAGAAGGACCCGAAGGACCTCCTGGTCATCCCGGCTTTGTCGGTCCTCCTGGTGAGCCTGGTCCTGAAGGTCCAGATGGCAAAGAAGGCATTGAAGGTGCTCAAGGCGAACAGGGTCCAGCTGGTCCCTACGGAATAACGGGTCCTATCGGTGAACCAGGTGATCCTGGTCCAAAAGGTCGTCCCGGTCCTGCTGGAAAACGTGGAAGTCAGGGAGCAGCGGGAGCACGTGGTCCACAGGGTCCTCCTGGTCCACAGGGTCCTCCTGGTCTTGAAGGTCCACCCGGACCTCCGGGCATTCGTGGATCACGGGGAGCCATCGGCCCAAAGGGTGAACCAGGTGTCCGAGGTGAAGATGGTGCTCCTGGTGCAGATGGTCCAAATGGTGAAACCGGTCCTCGTGGTCCTCAAGGACCCGCTGGACGTCGTGGAAAAGATGGCCGACCTGGAAGACGTGGCCCAATCGGTCCCAAAGGAGCTCCTGGCGGCAAAGGCCCAACTGGTCTACAGGGACCTCCTGGTCATGATGGTCCTGCTGGCTACCAAGGTCCTGTTGGCAAACGTGGTCCCACTGGACCCACTGGAGAGCGTGGTCCACAAGGTCCTCAAGGCCTACGCGGTGAAACTGGTGAGATGGGTGAAGTAGGTCCAATGGGTCCACCTGGAAACGATGGAGATCCGGGTCCACCTGGTGTTCAGGGACCTCCTGGTCCGCCTGGACCACCTGGACCGCCAGGCTCTATCATGAGCATTCAGGCCCGTCGCGCACCCACCAAAGGTCTGCTCTATGGTGACGATCCTAAGGCTGCTCGCCTATTCGGAATGAACTCCATCAAATTTCCACGTGGAACTCAAGAAGTTCCTGCTCGAACATGCGCCCAACTGGCTGCTCATTTTCCCAACTATCCTGATGGTAGGCTGTTCACCTCTTTACCTCCAACTATGGACCTCCTTTCTCGATGTCTTTGGCATTGAGACCTTCATTTTACTTTAGGCACTTACTGGCTTGATCCAAACGGTGGTCGCACAAACGACGCCGTTGAAGTTTACTGCAAAGTCAAGACCGGTGAGTCTTGCATCCGAGCCAAGAAATCCTTCGCGGTTAGGCAGTGGGCTTCACCCCCTACTAACAGTTCTTTATGGTTTCACAGTTACAACCAATTTGGAGAGGTGAGAAGAACGTGGATTCCTTTTATAGGCATCGTAATGTAAACTTGTTTTGAATGGCAAGATTTTTT